ACACGCATTTAGATATGCTTCAAGCTTTGAGCCATTACTCCAACACTTTTGCATCATAAGAAGGCACATCAAGTCCATTAAATTCGAGTCACTTATTGTATTTTCCACAGACCTCTCTTTCTCGCTTACTAGCCTGCATGCAACAAACCAGTGGCAAATATGATATAGGCCAATAGTATAAATTCAACATTCATCGCCCAATTTAATCTATCATACCCATGGTAAATCGCTTTGGCCACGCAATTCTCTAGAGACAGATCTTGATTATTGGACAAAATACCCTTATGAGCCCATAAATATAAGCAACAAGGACTATTTGCTGTAATGTTGCCCTTTGGAGAATCATATCGGACGAAGACGAATTAGTCATTGCAACAGCGATTAGGATTCTTGAAGTTTTTGCTTCTTACAGTCGCCAACCATCCATGACTAGAGCCACAGCATCTTCTGTTATAGCGCACAATAAGTCTAACCATTTATCACATTGTACAAATTATGGCTATTATGGCGATTATATATCCTAGAATCACCAATAGGGCTACGTTTGGTAGTTCGGATTTGAGTTCGGATAGCATAACAAAATATCCTATCCAATGTTTGGTGATGCCTTCGGGACCGGATAAATCCGGATATACCCAGATAAAATGCTAGATAAGAAATCCAGGTTAAGAGGTAGGATAGACTCGGATTGGATAAAAAAGTACAAAAAAAAAAAAACATAACAATTTCCTTCCAACGATGGAGTGATGGAGTCTGGCGAAGTGGTCACCACGCAAGGACCGCCGCCACAATAGCCAATCACTCTCAACCACCGTGCAATCGTCATCATCTCCGACCAACGTCGATCGTCATTGCCATCCGGCCGATTGTCCTCCAACGACTATCGAATTGAACCGGCCGTCGCTGATGAATGACCTAAAATCAATGGATTGACACGAAAAGTCGTCTTTAAAAAAGAAGAAGAAAAAAACTAAAATTCACGAAGTTTTTGGGGTTCTTATGTTGGTCCTGAACGGTGGTCAACTTATTTTTCCACGAAGCTTCAACGTCCGACCCCGTCCTCTACTCAGATATTAGACTTTGTGCTGACAATCGGAAGATTTCAAAGGAGAAGGAGGAGGAGGAACTTCGGTGAAAACAGTGATCGCTCAAAATGGTGCTAGTATCAGTCGTGTGAGATTACGTCAATAGGATGATGCCCTAGATTTGGAAAGTATCGCCTCTGTTAGCAATTGAAATTTTCAAAAAATTTGAATCCTATCTAGGATTGCACCAAACATTGGAAATGATTTTTTTACAATCCGTATGATATTTGAAGAATTTATAATCCTACCTTATCCTTTCATATCCCAATCCAAATCAAGATGACTAAACGCAACCTAAGAGATCTGTATGCGTGATAATTTCTTAAGCTCCGTGTGATCTCAAATGAAAGAAAACCACGGCATACATACCCGGCTTACGTGCAAGTATTTGTCAATCGATGCCAACTTTTTCATAAGAGCATCCATGAAGTTTCTCGGAATCCATGCCCAATCCGTTTCTTGAATACTAATGTTTTCATGGACAATCATTTGCAGGGCAAGGGATTTTGTAGACTCTTCACCAACCAAAGGAGCATAATCCTATTAGAAGTCAAATTCCTTACTTAAGGAGAAGTCTAATAAGCAGAAAATTGTCCAAAAAGTCATCACGGGAATCAATTCAATTCTAAACTTTTTAATTTTATCAATTTTATTCTAAACCTTTGATGATTTTCCATTGAATTCCCCTTACCATAATTGGCGAGAAATGCTCATGTGATATCAGTCAGCTAGCAACTTTTTAGTTTGTTAAAAAAATTTGAAATTTTCTTTTTATTTCTTTTTATTTCCTTTTCTTTTTTTCTATCGTTAGATTTCCAGTTAACGGCGTCGCAGAGGCCTGGCGATAGCCGGCGACGTGGCCACAAGCAAGGGTGTCGCGGCCCTCACCCAAATCCAAGTGAGGTTTCCAACAAGAGAACACCACTGATTTCTTCGCCGGCTTGTTCGACTGCTGAAAAGCTTCTTGTGTGAGCAGACAGACCTTTCAAAGCATAAAAAAAAGGGTTAATACTATGAAAAACCCCAAACTGGTACACCTGTGATAATTTTACCCCAAAATAATTTTTCAACAACCAAAAACCTCAAACTGGTACACCTGTGACAATTTTACCCAAAACTAATATTTTGACCACTAAAAACCCCAAACTAGTATATTTGTGACAAATTTTACCCTCCGTTAGTTTCCGTTAAATTGGACTAATACCGTAAAAAATCACAAACCAGTACATCTATGACAGACGAATGGTAAAACATAAAACTGACACATCAATCAACTACCGCGTGTCATTTAACAAAACAATTTGACAGTAAAATTTAATAGAAACAAACTAAGGGTAAAATTGTCACGGGTGTATCAATTTGAGGTTTTTTATAGTTAAAAAATTAGTTTGGGGTAAAATTATCATAAGCGTACCAGTTTGAGGTTTTCGTGATATTGACCCTAAAAAAAACTTACTTTGTATATCGAAGAGCTCACTCTAAGCTCATTTACTCGCCCCCAATCTTCCAAGTAGGTATTAATCTGATTCTCGCAGCTGATATGTTGCTTTGGAAATTTCTTCAGTTGCCATTGATGAGCTCGTCTCGAGCTATCCCTTTCTAGAGTAGTCATAATATATGCCCCTCCCTATTCAATCAAATTCATGAAATTACTTAAGTGGTTCGGGAAACACAATTTATCCAAATTCAAGTTCTTTTTTTGTATTATTTTAAGGGTTAATACCATGAAAAACCCCAAACTTGTACACCTACAATAAATTTACCTCAAACTAATATTTTGACCATCAAAAACCCAAAACTGGTACATCTGTAATAATTTTACCCTCTGTTAGTTTCTGTTAAATTTTATTGTCAAATTTCTGAGTTTAATGACACGTGGCAGTTGACGTGTATACTAGTTTTGGGTTTTACCCTCCATTTGTCACAGGTGTACCGGTCTGTGATTTTTCGTGGTATTAATTCAATTTAACGGAGGGTAAATTTGTTACAAATGTACCAGTTTGGGGTTTTTTATGGTCAAAAAATTAGTTTTGGGTAAATTTATCACCGATATACCAGTTTGGGATTTTTTGTGGTTAAAAAATTAATTTGAGTTAAATTTATCGCAAATGTACCAGGGATTTTCGTGGTATATGTCCACACTCCAGTGCAAGCTATGTTCTTTCCCTTGCCAAGACTTTTTCTGCAATTTCAATTCATCTTCTCTGTCCCCTCCGCCCAAGTCTGATGTTTGGACCTCTAGCTTTCGGACGACCATGGCCTTCAACCAAGAATGGAAGGCCAAGTTAACACCGTCCACAAGCCTCCACTTCTTAAGAAAAGAAATTTCAGAAAATTAAAATAAAAAATTTGAAAAAAAATCATCTACTTCTACGCAGGCCATGCCACGTAAAATGCACATATTCAAGTAGATTACGAATAGTTCGTTGTCACAAGTGTATGTGTTAGTAATGTGCTATTGGCTCATCATGTCCAATTGGTAGATATGCTATGTATGTGTTAGTTAAATAAATATGCCATTGTCGTAAAATACGAGAATTTCATCATAATTCTTTTCTTTTTTTGGTTGGGTACTTGGATACCTTTGGGTACTTGAATAATCTCATCAAGTTATGACAGTTTCATCGTGACAACGCCGGAACCAATAGATTAAAAGGCCAAATAGCAATAAAAATCCTTATATGTATCTCCTCTTTTCACTTTTATCACCACCTTTTTATGCTATCAAGATAAATCCCCATGCCCTTTTGAAATCATATCAAATCTATCCAAAAACTAGACTCCCTCAGAAAATCGTCTTTTACTTATTTATTTTTATTTTTTGCCCTCTTCAGCCTTAAATATTAGTAGAACTGGAATTAAGGCTATTTTTGTAGAACGGCCTAATTTTTCATTTTTTTTTTCATACAAGAAATTTCAAAAATATCTTTAACAATTAAATATTGGCCAATATGAAGCCAGATTAATATTATCCCTAGGCATCCGTTAAATTATTCTCCCTTAAACATTCTCCCTTGGGTAATAAAACCATGTAAATCTTTTGGGTATTCTTCCTTTGGGCATAATTTCGGCAACAAGGAAAAAAGAATATTTTTGTTAGAACAGTCTTGTTGCCACTCGTTTTCTCTCCAAATGGTGTTAAAAGATTTGCGACAGAGTTGGTGCAAATTTGAAAGATTGGGAATTTTCATTTGGCCAATAGTAAATAATCACTGTAGCAAGAGGCTTATAGGAGGTTCCACGAGAATGTGGGAAATGACTAATTGGACGCGATTAACATCGGTCGGGTCAATTAGATTCTTAGAATATTGTTGGCTTCACGTGAGATTCACGTGATCAAAAGCCGAGTTCACTAAGTCTATTATGGAAAGATTTTTGTTTCCTCTTGGTACCTTTCTTGGTTGGTATGCCAAGACCGTTGCTATAAGATACAACACTATTGAATCTAGCTAGGGTACGAATGTAATTCGCCTATAATGATTATATTCTTTTGAAAAATTATTCAAAAAGCCATAAACTTATTATAATTTTGCTAGTTTAGTTCTAAATATTTTGACAATTTAGTCCATCTAGTTAATTTTGGCAGGAATTTACTAATGTGGACGTTAGCCGTTCTACGTGGCACAACCGACGCTGAAATGGGCTATTTTTAATAAAACTTTGATGTTTTTTTCGAATTTTTATTATTATTATTATTATTTTCTCTTTTTCTCTTTTCCTTCTTTATTTATGTTTTTTACTGTGGCCGGGGAGGGCCCACCGGGACAAGGAAAAGCAAATCAGGAATTTCCTGGATGATGTTGTCATTATCATAGGAGAAAGCAAAACGAACCTTCTTTCAGTCAACGAGCGTAACATTAAAGCTAAAACACCACCCCTGTCCGCTGTGACTCGAGCTCTAAGTTTTTTCTAATGCCAGCTTTAGTGATAGCTTCTCAGAGAAGGGAAGACTTCAATAAAGACCCTCCCAAATGGTAGTGTGTTGGTGCTCACTTCTTTGCTTCCTCAAACTGAAGTGAGCTCATTACTTCTACTTGGGTCTTGAGTGAAGAACAACAGAACGGGAAGGAGATGGGAGCTGCGATAAACCCGCGGGATTTGCCGGTTGGATACAGATTCCATCCAACCGGCGAGGAATTCGTGAATCATTACTTGAAGAGGCGAGTACTAGGATACGAAGACCATCCCTGCATAATTCCCGATGTCGACATCTGCTGGTGCGATCCTTGGGAATTACCGAAGAAGTTTCATGGTAAGAACACATGCACAACCATCACTTTGCTTGCTCCTTCGATACAATTCCTCTGCGGCCATGATTGTTGGAAACTTATTACCTTACGTTTATGGGTTTGTGGAGCATAATATTTATCATCAATCAGGGAAAAGTCTGAGGGAATTTGCTGATTAGTTGTCAATTCGATAGTTTGTGGTGGCGATGTTTCGCCTTATCAGGAGCAGGCAACTGTAAAATGCAAATCCTTTCGTTTTGTCACGAAAAAGAAACACAAGTTCTTGATAATAAGAAATTGATGAGATTGACAGGTGAATCCATCGTTGGCCCGGATGACCAAGTTCAAGAGTGGTGGTTCTTCAGTCCGCATACATCCCAAAAGGTTAAAAGATCGACTCCCTCTGGCTATTGGAAGAAGACGGGCATCAACCTGGAGGTCAAGGCCAGATATACCGGCACAGTAATCGGTACTAAGAAAATCCTAGTCTTCCACGAAGGTCGAGGCAAGAATGGCGACAAGACAAACTGGGTCATCCATGAGTATCATCTACTCACCAATGATGTGCTTAATCTATCCCTCCTTTATTCGTTATAATTAATTAGATTCACAAGATGCATGAATTTGATGACGTTTCGTATGAGAAGTTCAGCTACAATAATCTGCAGAAACACCCTATCAAAAGTTTCCACGAGTCCTTATAAGCAAAGGAATATTTTCTTGCTCTATTTCTACTACAGACGATTGAAATATTATACATACCTAGGAGAATTGACATTATTTTTGCCAAATTTGTGAGCAGAATTTTACTTTTGAAGAAAAGATAGATGATCTGATGGTATGAACTGGTATAACTTGGTCTTTTGGCAGTTGAATAGAACTCATGTTCTCTGTCACTTGAAGCATGAACGAGATGAGAAGGCTGATAATTCAATCATAGAATCAGAGCGTGGAGCCATTAACCTGGCAAAGCTCGAATATGATCTTCATTTACCTGATCGTGAGGACTTATTTCCCAAGGTGCGGATGACAAAGTGTTCTGTTTATATATAAAATATGTCTTAATGAGCGCGCAGAATGTGTTGATGGCTAATTTTTTACTTTTTGATACAGGCTTTGGTCCAAGCAAAGATGAATTCACTGATGGAGTTAATTCAGCCAAAGAACCGAGTTGAATCTATGGCTGACCACCAGCAGCAGCTTCAGCCTGCGCGAGGATCACTAAATAATTGCTTCCCCTCCAACACACATCAGCTTACGAATATTGGGGGTCCATCTGTTATGGACCTGTCATTGAATAATAGTCATGCTGATGAATCTATTCAATTAGTGCTTGGAACAAGTGAAGAAGATGAAAATGTTGGTGACATGCAAAATGCAGATCTGGCTGATGCCGTCTTCTCCAACAGAGGAATCATCAATCAAAGTTACTCTCCGGGATTCGGAGTTGAAGCCCGTGACCGGAGGACTCGTCAATCATTACTTGAAGATGAAAGAACAACCTATGCATCGGTACCCAGATCACTCCCGGTTCCTGATCGGAACACACGGGCAAGGGCCATGCACGGCTATCCCTTAAACGTCAATCTTCTTTAGCACAGTTCAGGAGGCCAGGTACATGTATTATTTCTTTCACTTGATATCAATGCTCTGCTTGGTGCAGACTAATGTATAGCTATCGATTCTGCTCGTCCAATTGTTTTTGCCAAGTATAAATGAGTATACGCGATGCACACCAATTGGCATACTGCTATGTACATTTCAGTTCTACGAAGGCATGTTCCTGCCTTTCGCTACTGTTTACATGTTATCCGGTTCATGTCGCATTCTTTTTTCAAATGCGTGCAGAGATATTGTTCTCGGCCTCCCGGAGGGGTACAAGATGAGAAGGCTGATAATTCGGACATTCCTAGTGGATTCAGCTGCCTCATCTGAAGGCAGGTTAAAGAAGATCCAAGTGACCGAAGACGCGTTGTGAAGCCGTATTAAACTTAAGTTCCTACGTGCTTATTGTGGATTCACAATAAGCTTTGTGTATTGGAAGTAAAATCTTCTTTCTTGCCGAGAAGTCTTTTCATTCTATTTTACTTTTTTTTAATTCATCTCGATATGAGAACATCGATTGCTCGAAGATTGTTCAACCCAAATTACAGCACTTCTCCAACGTAGTAAAAATGGATGCATTCGGGTATCCTCGGCAGATTGATGATTTGCCTATAGTACGCCTTTTTTCCTACTATGAGCTTATGACCGCACACGAGCATCTCAGAGTTTTCAACATCGGTATATGAAGGCCCCGGTGCAAAGGAAATACTGGAGAAAATAATTGAGATTCAATCTTCTAGCTTTAAGATCACGGCGTTCCAAGGCCCTGGTCGAGCCGTGTAGGGACCCTCGCGGTCGCGCGCTCCGGCGCCTTGTTTTTCCCCCCTTCATTTGTGCTTGGTTTTTCCCCTGTTTTCGGGCACGCCGGGCCGGACCTCACGGCCGTCCGGCTCACACGAACTCCGGCCCCCGTCGCCCCCGAGGTTTGACGTCGTCGGTCTGGTGTGTTGTATGTTGAGGGATCCGGTGCTAGTTTGGGTCCCGGTTGAGGCGGGAGCCCCTCGTTCAGTGTCGCACGCTACCCGCTCGACGAAATGCCTCAATGAGATCTAGTTTTTCGTGTCCCTCGTTCGTGGCCGAATCGGTGTTCCCGCGTGTTGTTCGTCTTACCATTTTGTTGTAATTTCGTGTTTGTCGTTGTTTGGGGCCGCCCACGGCTTCGTTGTTGGTGCTCGGCCGAGGGGTGGTGTGAAGGCCGGCCGACGAGTGGCGGCCTAGATGGGCGCCGAGGGGTGGCTGCGTCGAGGCCAAGCGTGGAGTCGAGCGTGGTCAAGTGCGGCCGAGTCGAGTCTCAGCCGGTGGCGGTGGCTAGCCAGGCGGAGGCCGAGACGAGCGGCTTCGGCCGTCTCCGGCGGGGCTGCAAGGGTATTGAGAGTTCTGAGAGTCGGGTCTACTGGTCGGAGCCGGGTCGGGCGTGAGAGTGTGGCCGGGTATTCTTGACTTCTCTGGGCTGGGCTTGAACAGAATAGTGGGCTGGCCCGGCTTAGTTTTTAGGCTCAAGTTTTAATTTGGACCGAGCTCAATGGCTGAGCCTAGTCCAGCAGTGAACCTGGGCCGGCGGGGCCGGGTTGGTCGAACCCGGGTCGGATGCGGAGATCCGACCCAGGTTACTATATTGTAATATTATATTATTTTATATTTTTATTTTAGAAATCAAAAAAATATTTCTAAAAAAATTAAAAATTCCGAAAAGAAAATTAATTTTTTCTAAAATTAGGAATAAGCTTAGAAATTAGATTTTTGGGTAGTTTTCCTTCAAAACGTGTGAAAACGTTTGATCAAAATTTGTTTCCAGGAAAATGAATGATTTGCAATATATTTTTCTAAAAATAATCGCTCATATCGCTTAAAATATTATATCAATGAAAAATGGTTTTATTATCGATAAACAATTTATGTTGAAATATTTTCTTGGGCGATGAAAATAATCTTTGTTCATTCATTTTTGTAATCAATATCCTTTATGGACTCGAGCTCGTCTTAGGCCGGCAGCCCAGAGACCGCCAAGACGCAGGCCAGTGAGCCTCGAGCTCGCCCTAGGCCGGCAGCCCGAAGACCGCCAAGACGCAGGTTGGCGAACTCGAGGCTCGCCCGATCCTGGCGAACCTGAGCTCCGCTTAGGTCCACGAGCTCGCGGCTTGCCAGATCAAGGTGAGCTCGAGCTTAGCCGACGTCGGCGAGTTGCAAGTTTGCCAGCTCAAGCTCCGTTGAGGCTAGCGAGCCCGAACTCGGGCTCAGGCGAGCCTTGAGCTTGCCGGTGGCCATCGCCGGCTGGTCATGGCGGAGGAAGGAGGAAAAAGAAAAAAGAAAAGAGAAAAGAGAAAATAGAAAATTAAAAAATAATAAACAATTTCAAATTTTAAAAAAGTAAATAAAAAATAAAAAAGAGAAATAAAAATAATTAAAAATTCGATTTTTAAAAAAAATAAGAAATATTAAAAAAAATTAATTTTTTTTGGCCTGAAATAAAGTCATAAGATTGAAATCATTTTCCAATGAAATCCAAACATCAGAAAACGATTTCCATTGTGTATCACCTAATAAATGTTTTCATGGAAAATTATTTTCCGCAAAATATTTTTCTTTATCATTAAGTTTTCCTTGAAATAAACTCATCCTTAGTGGACATAGAATTTTCTTTTTTCTTTCCTTGGCGAACAACTCTTGCCCATCAATTTGATCTGGAGAAAACATAGGAAATATCTAATTCGAAACAATCGGACCTTCACAAATAATAATTAATCTCAGGTTGGGTTTTATCTAACGGGTTCAAACTCGAGACGTATTTTAACATGCACAGCCCTAATGTTAATTGACTTCTAGCATGTTGATTCTAACTCAAATTCACACTATGTCATTAATGAAATGAAACGAAAAAGTCTCCTATTGTAATCAGAGATAGCTTAAGACCCAAAAAACAGAAAATCAGAGGTAACGAGCAGGACACATCATAGGAGCAAATCAGGAATTTCCCGGATGTTGTCATATGAGAAAGCAAAACGAACTTTCTTTTAGTCAATGGCGCACCATTAAACTAGTTTGATGGGGTGCATCAGGACAACGAAAAGCAGCCAAAAGAACCACTCCTATCAGCTGTCCATCATGATCAAGATATTTCTAATGCCCCCCACAGAAAGTTTCGTAGCTTGTCAGACAAGGGAAGAGTTAGATAAATACCCCTCGCAAATGGTTGTGTCGATGCTCACTTCTCTGCTTCCTCAGACTGAAGTGAGCTCACTACTTTTACTCGCGTCTTGTGTGAAGAACAGAAGGGAAGGAGATGGAGTTGCCGGTTGGATACAGATTCCATCCAACTAAGGAGGAGCTCGTGAATTATTACTTGAAGGGGCGAGTCCTAGGATACGCAGACCATCGCGGCATAATTCCCTATATCGACATCTGCAGTTACAATCCTGGGCAATTACCAGGCATTTTTCATGGTAAGAACCGATACAATCATCACTTTGCTTACTCCTTCGATACGATTTCTCTGCAGCCATGATTGTCGGAAACTTACTACCTTAAAGTTTGTGGGTCTTTGGACCACAATATTTATCATCGATCAGTGAAAAGTCTGAGGGAATGTGCTGATTAGATGTCAATTTGATAGTTTCTGGTGGCGAAGTTTCACCTTATAAGGAGCAAACTACTGTGAAATGCAAATCCTTCGTTTTTCCGTAAAAAATATATACGAGTCCTTGATAATAAGAAATTGATGAGAATGACAGATGAATCAATCATTGGCCCGGATGACCAAGTTCAGAAGTGGTGGTTCTTCAGTCCGCATACACCGGATACAGCCCGAAAGGTTAAAAGATCGACTCCCTCTGGCTATTGGAAGAAGACTGGTGATGACAAGGAAGTCAGGGCCAAAAAAACCGGCATAGTAATCGGTAAAAAGAAATTTCTAGTCTTCCACGAAGGTCGAGGCAAGAATGGCGTCAAGACCAACTGGGTCATCCATGAATATCATCTACTCGGCAATGATGTAATAAATCTATCCCTCCTTTGTTCGTTATAATTAATTAGATTCACAAGATGCGTGAATCTGATGACATTTCGTATGAGAAGTATAGCTACAATAATCTGCAGAAACACTCGATCAAAAGTTTCCATGAGTCCTGAGAAGCAGAGAAATATTTTCTTGCTCGGTTTCTACTACAGAAGATTGAAATCTTATACATATTTAGAGAATGACATTATTTTTGACAGATTTCTGAGCAGAATTTTACTTTTGAAGAAAAGATGATCTAATGGTATGAACTGGTATAACATGGTCTTTTGGCAGTAGGATAGAGCTCATGTTCTGTGTCGCTTGAAGCTTAAACGAGATAAGAAGGATGAATCTTACCTTGGCATTATTACCCTGGCAGATTTCGAATTGGATTCTGATCATGAGTCCTCATTTCCTGAGGTACGGAGGACAAAATGTTCTGTTTATACACTAAATATGAATCTTAACGAGCTTGCGAGAAGTGTTGATGGCTAATTTTTCACTTGTTTATTCAGGATTTGGTCCAAGCAGAGATGAATTCACTGAGGGAGTTAATTCAACCCGAGAACCAAGTTGAATTTACTTCGGCTGACTTCCTGCGGCTGCTTCAGCCTGCGCTAGGATCACAAAATAATAGCTTCCCCTCCAACATACATCAGCTTACGAATACTGGGGATCCATCTGGTATGGACACATCATTGGACAATGAAGAGGATGAAGATGTTGGTGACGTGCAAAATCCAGAGCCTGCTTATGCTGAGGTCAAAATTCTTCACTTGAAAGTCATTTGGTTGCTGTGATTACTTCTCTAGTAAAGTTTAAAATGCATTATAAATGGTTTAATATGCATTGGAAGGGCACTTCCCTTTTCCACGTTACCGGAAAAAAAAGGATAATTTCCTTTCAATCATCTTTGTGTAGAATAGTGGGTACATTATAGAACTACTACGGAAATAGAGAAGTGGACTTTCACTTAAGTTACTCGTGCTTGATTGACTTTCAATTATATAAGAGCGATGGACAATTTAAAACCTAATCTTGAAGGTCTGTTATGAAATTAAGTTTATGCCTCAATTGTTTCCTCTGATTCATTTTATCTCATGCAATCTGTCGTTGCGGTATGGCCAAACATCTAACTCGCATAATGAACAGGGCGTTCTAATGAATCGGTGAGCACGAACAACTGACTCAGTCCACGGTTTTGTTCCTCTCGAGGAAAAGAAAGGCGTAGTTGAGAATAAGTTCAACGACTCACCTTTCGCCTCTGAGAAACCTATGCCGCATCCTGTAATTGTGGCGCCTCGCAGACCTATGGCACCTCCCGTACGACCTGCAAGTGTAAAATGCTATAGCAAAGATGAAGAGCAGAGGTTCGAAAAGGTTAAGAGGGAAACTGCAGTCATAAATATCAAACCAGAACGCATATCTTTGGATGAAACGGCAGCCAGAGCAAAGGTGAAAGCAGCTCCTAAACTTAACCCATTGTGTCTTATTGCTACTTTTATGTGTTGTCGTGCACTGCTTGGGTAGTTAATTAGATGGTGGGATTCCGTTTTTGACTGCAGCGAACTATAATTTGGATTCTAGCATTCTTCTACCAA